CCATGTCACACCTATTCCGGTAGTTGTTGGGAGCACTATGCACGAAGTTGTTGATGAGTACGTTTACCTGGGACAAGTAGTCCGACTAGGTAAGTCCAACTTCGACCGAGAGGTCAATCGACGGATTCAACTCGGCTGGGCAGCGTTCGGGAAATTACGACACATCTTTTCGTCAGGTATAACCTCAATCTCTGAAAACTAAAGTGTACAACCAGTGCGTGTTGCCAGTGATGACTTACGGATCAGAGACGTGGTCCTTCACTGCTGGCCGTATGAGGACGCTCAAGGTCGCTCAGCGAGCTATGGAGAGGGCTATGCTCGAAGTTTCTCTGCGTGATAGACTCAGAAATGAGGATATCCGCAGTAAAACCAGAGTGACCGACATAGCCCAACGAATCAGTAAGCTGAAGTGGCAATGGGCCGGCCATATAGCTCGAAGAACCGATAACCGATAGGGAAGAAGGGTCTCGAGTGGCAGCTTCGTACCGGTAGGCGTAGTGTAGGGCGACCCCCCGCTAGATGGAGTGACGACCTGGTAAGACATGCAGGAAGTCGATGGATGCAGGTGGCTCAGGACCGTGCTTTGTGGCGTTACTTGGGGGAGGCCTATGTTCAGCAGTGGACTTGTGAAGGGCTGTAATGATGATGATGATGATGAAACTAGTGGTCACCTAGTGATCGAAATTTGGACGTAATTCATACAATTTTTAGGTTTGTATATTAAGCAAGAAATTCACTTTCAACTGCACATTAAACTCAAACATTTTATTGCGTTCATGTGGTTACATAGGTAAATAGATCTTATGTTACCCGTACACGTGGCCGTATTAGAATGTGTAACTTTTTAAGTACATATAGAGCAACGGAAGGATTGAAAAAGGAGAAACGGGAAAGTTTAGGTGATACATTTATTACTTAACGAATAAAACACAGTTTACTATTATAATAAAATATACGCTTTTTTGAGATGACATATAATACGCCGTGTAGTGGCGGTTAAGAATATCCACTACCCCATATCTTCCCGTGGGTGTCGTAAGAGGCGACAGAGGGAGACAGGCAGGAGATGGGCAGCAGCATCTTCCTGATAACAGCAACTGTACGACAAAAAAAAAACTGCGGTTGCCAACCCGCTCGCCAAGCGTGGCAACTATGGCAATATACCCCCCATGAACAATTACACAAATAGACGGCCCCCAGTCCCCGGCGGCCCCGCTATTCCTGGCTACGGTGGCGACCATGGTAACGGCGGGGCAGGGGGTGCTAAGAATCTCCGGTGGAGGTTCGGTTGCCACCTACGACGACTCGACATGGCAACATTTAACGCACGCACACTGAGGACTGACGAGAAGATCCTGGAGCTGGAAGAAGAGATAGACAAGTTGCGCTGGAGTATTATAGGATTATCCGAGGTCCGAAGAGAGGGGGAGGACACGGTGATTCTCGAATCCGGCAACTTGTTCTATCACCGGGAGGGCGACCATCTGTCCCAAGGAGGTGTCGGATTTATCGTCCACAAGTCTCTCGTCAACAACGTTGTACAGATTGAGAGTGTGTCGACGAGGGTCGCGTACCTGATACTCAGAATCACCAAACGGTATTCGCTGAAGGTCATACAGGTTTACGCACCAACGTCGGCACATTCCGATGAGGAGGTGGAGGAAATGTATGAGGATATTTCCAAAGCCATACATTCCTCCAAAACCCACTACACGGTGTTGGTGGGAGACTTCAACGCAAAACTAGGCACAAGACAAAGCGGTGAGCTGAAGTTAGGGAAATTTGGAGTAGGGCAACGGAACCGAAGGGGCCAGCAGCTGGCCGACTTTATGGAGAAAGAGGGACTCTTTATGATGAACTCTTTCTTCCAGAAGCGGCCCCACAGGAAGTGGACCTGGTCGAGCCCCGACGGTTCGACAAAAAATGAGATTGACTTCATAATGACGACCAGACGCCAACTGTTCAGTGATGTCTCAGTGATCGCAAGGGTGAAAACTGGCAGCGATCACCGAATGGTTAGAGGCACACTGAACCTAAACGTTAAGTTGGAGAGGTCTCGTCTAATGAAGTCAACGCTCCGTCCCCCCTCGTGCTCTGATCCAAAATCCCGAAAACTTTCAGCTCGAGTTACACAACCGCTTTCAGTGCCTACAAGATTGCAATGCAGTGGACGATATGAATGACAAGCTCGTGGAAACTGTCCATGCGGTCGGAGCTAAGTTCTGCAAACCCGCCGCAGAAGAACACAAAAACTCTCCGATCACACTCTTAATCTCATGGCTGTTAGACGGGAGATGAGGCTGCAATCGTCAACAGATTTGACAGCATACAGGCAACTGAACAGACAGATCTCCAAATGCATGCGGCGAGACTTACGCAACTTTAATACTGCTCGTATTAAAGAAGCGATCGAGCGGAACCAGGGCTCCAAAGTCTTTGCCAGAGATCTGTCTGCCAGAAAGAGCCAACTGTCAAGGCTGAAGACTGAGTGTGGCAGTATCGTTTCCGGGACACCTGAGATTTTGAGTGAGATTGAGAGGTTCTATGGGCAGCTGTACACATCATCGTTGGAGCCACACGCAAGTGTGAGTAACGATCCAAGAGCAAGTCTTATCCAACACTATTCCGATGATATCCCGGACGTCAGTCTAAGCGAGATTAGAATGGCTCTCCAGCACCTTAAAAACGGCAGGGCCCCAGGCGAGGATGGAATTACAGCGGAGCTTCTGAAAGCGGGTGGAACACCGGTACTTGAAGTCCTTCAGAAGCTCTTCAATTCCGTCCTCCATGGTGGCACTACTCCAGAGGCGTGGAGCAGAAGTGCGGTGGTCTTGTTCTTTAAGAAAGGCGACAACGCTCTCTTGAAGAACTACAGACCGATTTCCCTTCTGAGCCGCGTCTACGTGCTGTTTTCGAGAGTCATTACAAATCGTCTCGCACGCAGACTCGACGACTTCCAGCCTCCCGAACAAGCCGGTTTCCGAAAAGGCTTCAGTACCATAGACCACATACATACCCTGCGGCAGATTGTACAGAAGACTGAAGAGTACAATTTGCCACTTTGCCTGGCGTATGTGGACTATGAGAAAGCCTTTGATTCCGTCGAAATTTGGGCGGTGCTGCAATCCCTTCAGCGGTGCCAAGTTGACTGTCGGTATATCGAAGTGCTGAAGTGTTTGTACAGTAGGGCTACGATGGCTATCCGAGTACAGAACCAGAGCTCGAAACCTATCCAACTGCAGAGAGGTGTAAGACAGGGTGACGTTATATCCCCGAAACTCTTCACCGCTGCTTTGGAAGACGTTTTCAAGCTACTGGACTGGAAAGGATACGGTATTAACATCAATGGCGAGTACATCACTCACCTTCGATTTGCCGACGATATAGTCCTTATGGCAGAATCGCTGGAGGACTTAAGCACTATGCTCAATGACCTCAATAGTGCCTCCCAACGGATAGGTCTTAAGATGAACATGGACAAAACAAAGATTATGTTTAATGTCCATGTCACACCTATGCCGGTAGTTGTTGGGAGCACTATGCTCGAAGTTGTTGACGAGTACGTTTACCTGGGACAAATATTCCGACTAGGTAAGTCCAACTTCGACCGAGAGGTCAATCGACGGATTCAACTCGGCTGGGCAGCGTTCGGGAAATTACGACATATCTTCTCGTCAGGTATACCTCAATCTCTGAAAACTAAAGTGTACAACCAGTGCGTGTTGCCAGTGATGACTTACGGATCAGAGACGTGGTCCTTCACTGCTGGCCGTATGAGGACGCTCAAGGTCGCTCAGCGAGCTATGGAGAGGGCTATGCTCGGAGTTTCTCTGCGTGATAGACTCAGAAATGAGGATATCCGCAGTAAAACCAGATTGACCGACATAGCCCAACGGATTAGTAAGCTGAAGTGGCAATGGGCCGGCCATATAGCTCGAAGAACCGATAACCGATGGGGAAGAAAGGTTCTCGAGTGGCAGCCTCGTACCGGTAGGCGTAGTGTAGGGCGACCCCCCACTAGATGGAGTGACGACCTGGTAAGATATGCAGGAAGTCGATGGATGCAGGTGGCTCAGGACCGTGCTTTGTGGCATTACTTGGGGGAGGCCTATGTTCAGCAGTGGACTTGTGAAGGGCTGTGATGATGATGATGATGATAATACACACATTATCACATCAATCTATATTATATCACTATATCATCTAATCACATAAAATTCTCAATTTATTCAGTAAGTCCGTTGGTAATTATTTGTTGGAAACATTTTGAAATTCTTTGGCAATAATCTCTATTCTATGCGACTGTTTGACCCAAGCAGGTTATATTTTATAACCTCCTTGGTTTGAACACGAGGGACAAAGTGTTTATCATTGGCCATAGAGTATATACATGTGTGTTTGTACTTATGGTTCATAAAAGATAGCTTGATCTCTGCGACAACTGTCAGTAAAAATCACGCCTATGAAGTCCTGAATTTCTTAGTAGTACAGACACTAGTCAAAGTACAGACAGTACCTGTCAATGTCATACTTTATGGGCATGCACTAATTAGGTCGGCATGCCCATAAAGTATGACATTGACAGGTACTGCCTCTGTACTACTAAGAAATTCAGGACTTCATAGGCGTGATTTTACTGACAGCTGTCGCAGAGATCAAGCTATCTTTTATGAACTATAATCTTAGTCATTGGCAGTATGAAAACGTCAGCCAAAAAACGACATAATTTGTCCAGTCGACAGCGAAACGAGAAACAAACTTAAACAAACTTTTTCACGTTCGCAACGTATGCGATGCAATGCTCCTATGTTGGTACACACTTACCCACGTATGCAACGTAAGTTTGGCATCAGACACTCCTGTCACTTCTTTGCGGGCGCACGAGTACAAATGTTTTCTAATTCTGAGAGTGATTTTGCTAATGATATACTTTGTCTGATGTTTATAAACGAATATATCCACGCCACAAAGAGAAAGATTTTCTTTTACCAACCCGGGACATGTTGATACGCAAAGGAGGGCGCCAACCAGCCACATACCCAGACCGATATCTTTATCTTCGCGTGCACAATCCCTACAAAGAAGGCCGCTTACCAAGATTGATCGATCGACGATCTTGTGAAGGTGAACCGATAGATCCTGACCGCGTTGACGTTATTTTAGAAGTTGCAAGTGATCTCTCTAAGAGTAAGAGGGCAATTCAACGACATACAGGTAAATAATAATAATTGTTTAAAGGGTCTTTATGCGTTGGCTTCGGCAGCACCTACACACAGCTTCCAAAAGGTCGGAACATAAGTGCCCTAGACTTCAAAATGTAGATAACAATAATGTGAAGGAAGAAAGTGTAAGATTTAATTGCACCGGATGTTAAGAAGTATATTATAGCCCCTTTTCACTGGAAACGAGGCATACCATCTAAGTCCTCACGGGTGACAACGCATCTGCATTTTGATTTGTAATCGGGGATAGATGTAGATGTCTATGGGCCGTAGCAGCCACTTGCCATCGGGTGGAATGCGTGCTCGTTTGTCACCCTATCCTATATAAAAAAAGTAACAACGAACACCCCGACTTTTTCGACCGAACTTTATGGACAGACGAATCTTCATTCACCCGCACCGTTACCATTCCTGGGCGACCGAAAATACAAAACTGATTCGGCGTCACAATTTTCGTCACCAATTTAGTATGAATATCAAACCCGTCCAGCGTTGTTGGTTGGGAGTTCTTTTGGTTGATTGGCCCAAAAGAAAATTTTCACCATTTAATATCGTTAGGAGTTCCCAACGATATGAAAATTATTTAAATTTTTTTAAAAATAATTATTTAAATTTTTGTGGAGGCCATGGCAGATTCGGATGTGGCCTTATTAGCACGCCAGAACATGATATTTCAGTGTGACGGTATCCCTTGCCACTATGCAAGACAGGCTAGAGGTCATTTGAACCAGCATTCCCAGAGAGTTGGGTTGGCCGTAATGCACCAATCGCCTGGCGTTCAGGATCCCCAGACCTGAACCCCATAGATTTTTTATCTGGGGATGTTATAAGGAATTAGTGTACCATCGCGAATTCTCAAGTTTGGAGGAGTAAAAAACTAAATTAAATGAAGCTCAAGAAATAATAAGATACTAATATAAATAACACCCAAGCTTTCCGAGATTTGCGCGGTAATTTTTTGCGTCGGTGCCGTTTGTGCATTGAGGCAGGTGGCAGGCACTTTGGACATTTATTGTGAAAACAGTAATAAATAAATGATTTATTAAAATGATTTTTGTTGTTTCATTTATCACAATGTGAAAAAATAATTTTGATTTTACTTTAATTGCGCTGTTTTAAACATTCATAATTATTCACCATAATGATCGGAAAAGTGTAAGAAAAGTCATTTCAAATGCTTGAAATAAATTTCACTATTTTCGACTGCAACTTTAAACTTCGTTTTCGAACAAAAATATTCTATAGGGTACAATTTTTATCGTGTTATTTTGAGAGCTAAGGAACCCATAAAGTTTTTGAAATTATCAGGAAGTTATTCAATCAGGGTTATGTAATTTTTTTCCAAATTGAAATCAATTAAAAATTTCTCCCAAACAGAAATTTTAACTTTGTGAGCTAAATCTGAGCTACTATAATAGTAGTTAGTAGTTTTACGGACGAACACAGATGCTAGCCATAATATTAACAAAAAAATCACTAAGAATTACTTTACAGAAAATGTTATAACTAAAACCGTCCAAAATTACAAAAAAATCGCGGAACATACATAGGGACAATCAATAGGTATTGGTGTCACCAGACCACTGACCTTCGCTCGTACAGGTTTCGTGGGACAACCTGTATAAGTAGGTATATAATCAATTTAGTATCTACCTATTTATATTTGATTAACACTATCTTAAAGAAATTCCGGGGAAACTGTCTACGACAATAAATATTTTGTCTCTAAAGGTTTATCGGTAGGCTAATCTCTTCAGAGATTAGTCGCATTTTATTCATTTTGAATTTAAATCCAACAAAAGGCAGGTAAGTGAACTTATTCCCGAGAACAAATTATTGGAAAATATTTTAATTTTTTTTAAACTAAGATGGTAAAAATTCATTAAATTTTTGAAGTTATTCAGTTTCGTGCACTGAACTATTTTTTAATATTTTAACGCCTCTGTAACAATCATTACTCGATAATCCTTGTAAGTGAAATGTACATCAATAGCTAACGCACACAATGGAAATCAGAATTGTCACGCTTTTCCGGGCTACAAGGTCGCCAATCTGCCAGTATATTAGTCTATAGAAAAAACGACAACCACCTTGTAAAAGAATGAAGGTAAGAATAATATAGCTATCTTATTTTGTACCATGTCAAACGTCAATAAATATATATATATATATATATATATATATATATATATATATATATATATATATATATATATATATATTTATATACTATTAAACGAGCAATTCTTGTATATATATATATATATATATATATATATATATATATATATATATATATATATATATATATATATATATAATCGAGATCTCGGGAACGGCTCCAACGATTTTCATAAAATTTAGTGTCCAGGGAGTTTCGGGGATAAAAAATCGATCTAGCTAGGATTTATTTTTAGAAAATGTCTTTTTGTCCGTGTTTTTAGGCAATGAAAAACTGCTACAATATCGTTAGTATAAGAAGGTAAATTTTGAAAAACTGTAAATGATTATAAATAGCTTAATTGGTACAATGGGCGGTCACAGAATCGTAAAACCCCGGTTCGAGCCCCGACCAACCGACTTTTTTTAATTTTTTTTTCAAGTTCCTTTCTTTTTTGATAAAATCTATTTTTTCGAACCCTTTTTATAGTATTTTTTAAAAACACGAAAATTTAAATTAAAATAATTACACTCATGATTTTTTATTCAAATAACCAGTTCCGTTTTTTGTGTTATGTCGCTAAGATCAAAAAATATTATTTATATTTCATCAGTATGTAATTTGTATCTAAATATAATTTCCAAAACACACGAATTAAAAAAAAATCTAGCAAAAAATACCGAGCACAGCTCGGTCAACCAGGTACTGTATATAAAAAGTTAAGCTATAAGAATTTTAATAATATTTTAGGATTCTCTCTATGCTAGTAATTACTCTGAGGTTTGAGGACTGTTTGACGATTTTTACGCCATCACTAATTCGCCAGAACTTCGTCCGTCAATCAACAAGGTGCGTGCAGGTGGTGCAGGTGAAGTTATAATTTAAAGCGTAGATTACAAAGTATATTTAATATATATTTGAGTTAGAGAAAAAATTGGCATATTACCCGTTACACCCGCAACCCAAAGTAAAATCAATTAACATTTTCAATTAGTCTATAAAAATGATTTAGATATCGTTTTAATCCGTATTAATTTAATAGATTTGAAAGGAATTAATTAACATAATTCGTTTTAACATTGATTCAATTTAGAGACAGATTACGTCAGCATTTCGATATGGATAAATTTGATTACATTTATAATAACTCTTAATAGTTTTTTAAAAGCCTTCTTAAGATCTACAGACTTCGTATTACTTAAAGTATTAGGTTTAACACAACATTGCTTTTAAAATTTTGGACTATACGAAATCTTCGTTTTTCATGTCTGAAAGTAAATTGACAACTATAAATCTTAAACTAGAAATAATATTGGTACGTTTTTATTAGGGTTCCGTAGTCAACTAGGAACCCTTATAGTTTCGCCATGTCTGTCTGTCCGGCTGTCCGTCCTCACTTAATCCCTGTGACCGTTAGCACTAGAAAGCTGAAATTTGGTACCAATATGTGTATCAATCACGCAGACAAAGTTGTAAAATAAAAATTAGAAAAAAATATTTTATTAGGGTAGCCCCCTATATGTAAAGTGGGAAGTGATTTTTTTTTTAATTCAACCCTAACGTATGATATATTGTTGGAAAGGTATTTAAAAATGAATAGGGGTTTACTAAAATCATTTTTTGATAATGTCAATAATTTCGGAAATAATCGCTCCAAAAGTAAAAAACAATGTGTGTCCCCCTCTAACTTTTGAACCATAAGTTTAGAAAATATGAAAAAAATCTGAAAAGTAGAACTTTATAAGGACTTTCTAGGAAAATCATTTTGAACTTGGATGGAAACAACAGTACCCACTACCGGGAGCAGTTGCAGGAGCGCGGAGCGCTGCTGGAACGCGAACATAATGGATACCCACCTTTAAACTCATAAGTGGGAACACTTATTGTGACGGACGGGAAACTACGGAACCCTACACTGAGCGTGGCCCGACACGCTCTTGGCCGGTTTTTATTTGTGTTGTGTTTGTGGTACTTAAATCATTATTAAATTTTAAACATTTATATAAAATTTGATACTTCCTTGTTTTTCTTTTTGGTCTTGACTGCTTCGTTGGTCAGGTGATCGTAAACGCGATTGCTGACTACGAGGTGCCGGGTTTGAATCCTGGGTCGGGCCAAAAATAAGTTATTGGGTTTCCTCTCAAGAAATGCTCAGTAGCAGCCCAGAACCATGAAGTGGGCGGTGCTTAAGCCAGTACCCCAGAAAGTTCGTAAAGCCGTTAGTCCTGCTTCTGATCTCTCTCCGTTCGCGTCAGATTACCGGCCCATCGGACTATGAGAGTGAGGGTCTAGAGAGTGCACCTGTGCTTGCGTTTACACTCGGGAACTGTAATCCTGCCCTGCGTAAATGGCTGGTGTCCGTTGAGATTGGCTGCCATGACCAAAATTCGGTCTGAAGGACATTTTTTATACTTCATCAGCCAAGTCCACTGCTTGACATGGACCTCTCCCGTTATACGAAATATTTGACGGATTGACGATCATAGTACTAGACGTCTTGCACCTTTGTGTCTGCTACCACCTACCATAGGTCTTTATATTTTACATCTTGTGTAAATGAGGTGGAGTAATAACGACATGTATCGAAAGGTAAAAAAATTCTAGCATTTCCCACCGTCGCCTTTTACAATACCCACGGGACGAAAAGTCTCTTAGTTTTTATTCGAAGTTACTTATTTTTTTACTATTCATTTAACTTCTTACCATATTTAACGATATCAATAAATCCACCTGCTCCCAGAGGGAGAAAAGCAGACGTTACGCTTGTTTTGTGTTAGATAACTTTAATTTTATTTACCTGATGCTGAATGCTTTCTGTTTTAGTCAGTTTTTCAGAAAGGTGTTTTAAAAATGCTTAAGTCTACGTTATATTAATTCAGGTTTCGGTATATAACTGTTTAATTTATGTTAAAAATGGGAACTCGAGAAACAGTATTATCATTGTATTAGCATGCAAGGAAGACATGGATGATAATTAATCCTGAGGATGAGGTTATCGCAACCAAACTGTTTCTAAAATAATTTGTATAATAAAAAAAGCCCCGAGTTTTCCTGTTGGTCCTTCACGGGAGAAGGCTGAAGGATATTTCTCAAATAAGTGTTGAATTAATAATGACATGTAACAAGTTTTAATAAGTATAGACTATAGTCGCCGGCAGTCGCCGGAATAAGAAAGGGCGCCGGAATAAGAAGGTAGTAATATGGATACGAGACCGCAAATAGTTCCTTGGTAATGAAGAAAATTTTAACGAATTAGATAGGAGGACGGGAACGTTCACACAAATTAGAGGCCATCAGCCCACCAACGCCAGGGATGTCAGTAAATACATTCTCCTCACTTTCTTCCTCTTAGCAAGATCTCACCATCACTTTTTTCTTTGTTGATAACACTACAGGAAGGTTCGCGCAAACTTTGTATTGTTCTGTTATACACAGACGAGCTAAACTATTTTTAAAAACAAATATTTTAATACACTATATTTAATTATAGTATAAATGGATTATAATTTAATTTAGGTCTGTGGACAACCGAACAGGTTTGAAGATGGAAACAGTCTGCCGTGGCAAAACTGCTCCAGTGCAATACTCGCTGAACCTTAGAAATTAGAAATTATATTTATTTTTTCTCATCACAAACAGGCACAGAATTATTGATGACAAACATATTAAACTACAAATGTATTGAACTCTAGTTTGTGAGAGACTGGTGCTTCATAGAGTTTTAATACCTTTACCTACCTTTACATACTACTAGTTCTATAGGTCACCAGGTCCCATCATCAAATTACAGACAGTACATCTTTAAATTACACGTTTGTATAGAATATTGAAGACATCATTATTTTCATTTAATTGGTTATGAGTAAATCGACATTTAGTAAAATTGAGGATTAATATAGCAAAGCCAATTGTTTAAATGATATAGATACATATTTTAGATCAGAGTACATAATAATATTATAATTATATACAATGTGTGTGATATTATAGACTAAACCAACGTTATCAAGAGGCAGTGCAGCAGTAAGGCTAACAAATACAAGGTAAGGTAACATCTTTCCTCGAATACTACGCGTTCATTTCAAGTTTGCCGTCATCGACCTTCATATCACAGCTGACGGTACCGTAGACAAAAAGTCCTCATGTTTATTTATTATATCACATAAACATTATGACAATTTTTTGTAAAATTGAGCAAGACTAAGTAAGTAGTTTGTTGTCCTGTACACAGAAATTGAGAGCAAAAAACTAGATAAAATGCTTATTATAAAATAGGGTAAACCAAGGTATAACTGGCCACTACCAATAACTAGCCACTTAGTACTTTATCTATTTGAAATAAGAATAATGTTTTATTTGCGCCATCAATGAACGTATCAAAAAAATGCCTCGTCATTCACCTTTCGTAGTAGTTCAACTTTTTTCGCTACAGATACTAGCGCCCAAGCAAACTGCCATTTACTGACAGTTGGTGTACGTGTCTCGACATGCAAGTTACTTTACTACGTAAATGTTAGTGGCTAAGTTTTTACAAAATTTAAATTATAGGTGATAATACTTGGCGTTGGTGAAAGAATCGCATATTTCTACATATTTGCTTGGTGAGTTATATGAATCTTTATTTTAATTCTAATAAAATCTTAAATAAGCCGTTATTGAAAGGGTGGCTAGATTCTGAAGTAATTTTTTTGGAAGTTTTTAGTTATTGGCCACGTATGCCAGTTACTAAAGTTTTACCTATTATTCAAATTTCTTTAACAATAACTCGTATTTATGATGTTTTTAAGGTGTAGTATTGTGTATTTTCTTTTTAGCAGAATTAGTTGACTCTGATCAGAAACTGGCATAGGTGGCCAGTTTGTGGCCAGTTACTAATCTATTTTCTTATTTATTTTACAGTTCATTGAAGTGTTAGTAAAATGTCTAAAAAACGACAATACGGCAAAGAAACAATAGATAAGGCTCTAAAATTTATTGAGAATAAAGAGGGTTCAATTCGACAGGCGGCAAAACAATTTGGTGTGCCCAGAAGTAGCCTCCAATTTAAAATTAAAAATCCTGACACAAAGTTTAAGTCTGGACCAGATCCAGTGCTAACTGAAGCTGAAGAAAACAGTTTATGTGACTTCATCATACAACTATCAAAGCGTGGCTTCCCAAGAAAGAAAGAGGATATCCAATTATGTGTCCAGAATTTTTTTGCAACAAAATCCGAGACCCAACCCTTTCCGAGACAACAAACCGGGAGATGTGTGGTTTAAGGCTTTCCTGAAAAGACATCCTAATATTTCAATTCGAACATCAGAAGGAGTTACCAATGCAAGCGCTTGTGTTTCTGAACAGGATATTAGGAAATGGTTTCGGGAAATAAAGCAGTATTTTGACGAGGAAGAACTAAATGACGTCATTCAAGATCCCATAAGAGTATTCAATGCCGATGAAACTGGATTCAATATTTGCCCGAAAACAGGCAAAGTATTGGCTGAGAAAGGGTGCAAAAATGTGTACCAGATAGAAAAAGGATCTTTTAAAGAAAACATTACAGTTTTATTTACGTTTTCTGCTGCTGGACACGTCTTTAGGCCAATGATTATCTATCCTTATAAACGGATACCTGACCGAGTTTCGTTGAGTGTGCCATCTGGTTGGGGAATAGGGCGAAGCGACACAGGTTGGATGACTGCAGCAGTTTTTTATGATTATATCTCTAACTGCCTGCACCCACAAATTTTAGAAAGTAATATCCCACTACCAGTAATTCTATTTGCCGACGGACACAAAACCCATATAACCATAGAAATATCAGAACTATGCCGCCGTCTTCAAATACATCTAATAGCGCTTTGTCCAAACGCAACTCGTATACTACAACCAGCAGATGTCGCAGCTTTTCGCCCAATAAAGGTAGCTTGGAAGAAGGTACTGCGCGATTGGTACGCTGCGAATAATTACGAAAATAGTCTGACCAAAGAAACCTTTGCTCCACTCTTAAAAACAGTTGTAGACTCGTGTTCTAAGAAAGAGACATTAATAAATGGATTCAGAGTAACCGGTTTATGTCCATTTGAACCAAATAATGTTGATTTTAGCAAGTGCATTGCAAGGGTAAACCAACCCGATGATACACCCACGTCAGAAAAAAATGTTAAGCATAATATGAATGTGTTGACCTATTCAGAGTTTTGTAACATTGTGGGTGAGTCAATTCTTGAAAAATGTCGAACAGTCTCTTCCATTTTAGAGTCAGATGATAACTTTTTTGCAATTTACAATTTATGGCAAAGATTTGAGGCTGCATCGGAAAACAATAATAATTATAGAATTAATAATGACGTGGACCGTGGCCCTTTCGACAAACCGACCAAAATCGTAGAAGACAATTATGTGACTGATATTATAGAAGATGACGAAACCCCTAGGTCGATTCTTGATGAATTTACAGGTGAGTTAATAAATAAAAACGAAGAAAGAGAAGATGAAAAGAAAGAAGTGTATAGCGAGCCGACACTTCAGAATAATTTAATAGAACGTAGTCTCACTCCGCAGCCTAGCACGTCAAAACAAGTCACATATTCGACGGTTTCCATAATTTCTAATGTATCTCTAACTGAATACTTGAAACAAAACTTACCATTATCACCTAAGCGACAAGGAAAGCGCCAAATAGAAAGACTGCCATTTGCTTTAACTTCAGACCAATACGTGGAAAGAATAAAAGCAAAACAGTTAAAAAAAGATTGAAGAAGAAGCTGCAAAAGAGGAAAGAAAGAGACTAAGAGAAGAAAAGAAGAAGGAAAAAGAAAACAGTATACCTAAGAAGAAAATCAAGAAAAAAAGTGATGGAAAAAGCAAAACAAAGATAATTGAAGAAGATATATGCAAAGAAAATACTGAAAATACATATGAGGTTAATGAACAAAAAGTTTTTTGTGATTTTTGTTCGAATCTCATTACAAGTAGGGTTATTGAATGTAACCAGTGTAAAAAACGGTTTCATTTAAATTGTATTCCGTCATATCACAGACTCCATGTACCTGTGGAAGATGAGGTTCAGTTTTTGTGCCACATGTGCTATCGAGAGAGTAATACTGACTCATCTGACGGTGACTGTGATGCCATGTTTAGCTCTGCTTGTGAAGAAGCACGAAAACAAGGCTTCGGTTCAAACTTTATGCTATAAAACTATATTAATTTTAAACTTGTTGATTTGTTGTTCGTGTGAATTAAGAAAGTTCCTATGTCGTATTATTTTTGATCTCATATTAATATTACGGGTAAAATTTTGATTTATTGTCTAACATAATGAATGTTGTTTTGTTTAAAGTTTATTTTTTTTATATTCCTTTGTATATAGTAGGATGAAACAGAGGCTTATTTCATGTGGCCAATTAATAGTTTAATGACGGCCAGTTTCTAAAATTAGTGGCCAGTAACTACCAAAAGTGATAGTTTTTTGATTTTATTAAAATTTGATACAAAATATTGTTTTGTTTTACTTTTAAAATCCCGAATTATGTAAAATAATGTGCATATTATTTAGTGGCATTGCAATAAATCTAATATAATAACTTATTTTGACATAATTAAAGTCTGACTTTGTGAAAGTGCTTAAGTGGCCAGTTACTGGTGGTTTTACCCTAATTTATTTAGTAAAGTGAAATAATAACAGTGAATAGGATACAATTATAAAATATTATAATTAAAAATTTATGGTTTTATTTTTTATCTAAAACATTTCAAATAGGTACGTAAAACATTACGAGGCGCTGCTATCGCTACTAATAGGGTGACGCCTAAGGCGCGGAGTGAGGGAGTGCGGGAGGTAACGGCATTTTTGGAACGAACAAGTAGTAAGAAAATAAAATGCTAATGAGATATCAACCCTAAAAACTAAGATGAAATGCCTCGTATCCGGTAAAGAGGGTATTCGGTTCTATACATCCACCATATGAAACACAGCAGTTACGCTAGTATACGCTAATGTTCTGTGAGAACGTGTTCCTTCCCCGTAACTAGTATACGCTAATGTTCTGTGAGAACGTGGTCCTTCCCCGGTCGTCCGACCCATTCATTCCACAAGCATAATATAGCTGCAACATGGCTCTACTATGTGTTTGAACGAACAACGACCGAACGAACTGTTATACCTTGTATTTGTTAGCCTTACTGCTGCACTGCCTCTTAATAACGTTGGTTTAGTCTATAATATCACACACATTATATATAATTATAATATTATTATGTACTCTGATCTAAAATATGTATCTGTATCATTTAATCAATTGGCTTTGTTATATTAATCCTCAATTTTACTAAATGTCGATTTACTCATAACCAATTAAATGAAAATAATGATATCTTCAATATTCTATACAAACGTGTAATTTAAAGGTGTACTTGTCTGTAATTTGATGATGGGACCTGGTGACCTATAGAACTAGTATGTAAAGGTAGGTAAAGGTATTAAAACTCTATGAAGCACCAGTCTCTCACAAACTAGAGTTCAATACATTTGTAGTTTAATATGTTTGTCATCAATAATTCTGTGCCTGTTTGTGATGAGAAAAAATAAATATAATTTCTAATTTCTAAGGTTCAGCGAGTATTGCACTGGAGTAGTTTTGCCACGGCAGACTGTTTCCATCTTCAAACCTGTTCGGTTGTCCACAGACCTAAATTAAATTATAATCCATTTATACTATAATTAAATATAATGTATTAAAATATTTGTTTTTTAAAAATAGTTTAGCTCGTCTCCGTATAACAGAACAATAGTGTTATCAACAAAGAAAAAAGTGATGGTGTCTTGCTAAGAGGAAGAAAGTGAGGAGAATGTATTTACTGACATCCCTGGCGTTGGTGGGCTGATGGCCTCTAATTTGTGTGAACGTTCCCGTCCTCCTATCTAATTCGTTAAAATTTCTTCATTACCAAGGAACTATTTGCGGTCTCGTATCCATATTACTACCTTCTTATTCCGGCGCCCTTTCTTATTCCGGCGACTGCCGGCGACTATAGTCTATACTTATTAAAACCTGTTACATGTCATTATTAATTCAACACTTATTTGAGAAATATCCTTCAGCCTTCTCCCGTGAAGGACCAACAAGAAAACTCGGGGCTTTTCTTATTATACAAATTATTTTAGAAACAGTTTGGTTGCGATAACCTCATCCTCAGGATTAATTATCATCCATGTCTTCCTTGCATGCTAATACAATGATAATACTGTTTCTCGAGTTCCCATTTTTAACATAAATTAAACAGTTATATACCGAAACCTGAATTAATATAACAGACTTAAGCATTTTTAAAACACCTTTCTGAAAAACTGACTAAAACAAAAAGCATTCAGCATCAGGTAAATAAAATTAAAGTTATCTAACACAAAACAAGCGTAACGTCTGCTTTTCTCCCTCTGGGAGCAGGTGGATTTATTGATATCGTTAAATATGGTAAGAAGTTAAATGAATATAATATATGAAAATAATTTTATATAATAAAAGAATTGTCAATATAGTGTAATGGATGTTCAACGCTTACTCTTTGAAAAGAGGTCGTTAAAATCAAACGTGGAATATTGCCGATGGCAGGTCGTGTCAGCGATATCGGTCTTGAAGTATCGGCAAAAGTGTTCATAATAATATTAAATTTATATTGCTACTTTGACTTGAAAGAGGTTCAACGATTTATTATAAAAGTAATGATTTCTTATTTATATATTTTAAGGAATACTGCACATTAAATGATAAAATCCCTTAAATTTTTTTTAACTTTTTCAATCCCGAAGTTAAGTATTAACAAGCGTCTAAGGATAGCAATAGCTATGTTAATTATGGCATAGGAAAAGTGATATATAATGCTTAAAATGTTGGTTCAATCTACACTAATTTCCGAACTAATTTTTTCTGATTTTTTTTTGAAAGATAATTTTGGTGACAAATGGCAGAAGGCAGTAAGTTGTATTTAAAAAAAGTAATAAAAGAAAGAGTCGCGCATTGTTAGACGTAACGAAATAAAATTAGGTAACTAATGAAAATAAAATAATGTCGCAGTCTAAAATAGTTTTCCCTCCTGCTTTTGTCGTAAATGTCCTAAAATATTATTAACATTAATTACCATTTTTAAGCTATTGCATAGCTTCTATCGCGGGCCTTGAGTGCGGGAAAATCCAGAAATTTCGTAACGAAAAAAACCTCACGCTCTCCGACGGGCACGGAGGTGTGGCTTGAAGTCTAACGATGGTCTAACGTCGTTTCTTTTCCTCAGTCTTCGACACGGTGTTTGTGTATAAAGTGTTTTGAAATTTTGAATATGAATGAACAAAGTACATTTATTATTAAGGCTGCTCTTCGTCGAACCAACTTTTCGTCGACACTTACAGAGAAATTACATATGAAAAAAATAGCTAGTAATCTACATGATCTGATACGTAATTTCGTTTAGCCATAATTTTTCTATCGGTGTCACATAATAAATAAAAAAATACCCAAATCACCTCCAAATCGTTGAGATGAAACCACTTTACTCCTTCATTGTTTATCAAAGAAATTTAAAAAAAATATCTTCTGCTTTGCAATACAAAATAAAATAATTTGGTTTGGTTACTTTTTAGAAATATGTATTATTTTTATGATAATAAATTAAAAATGCGTCCCGATTAAATACTTCGTCTATATCACCCCCGCATTCGTCCACGAATTCAGTGCGGGGCGCATCGTGTTGCTAGGTGGACGTACGCCGCGTTGCGAGAGCTCAGCACTACGAAATAAAATCGTAAAATATTACCGCAAAAATTTAATTTTGTTAATAGTGGAGTAGGTTTTTTCTGATTCTTGTTTAATAGTAGTGTTTTATAGTTATATTAATTGTACAGTTTTATTAATGTTTAAGTTTAGTTTGTAAAACATGGGGAACAAGCAAAAACGATTGAAGAGAGGTCTAAAAAAATATTAAAAACAAAAGGTTATACATTTATCAAGGTAAGTTTTAATTTTTTCTACATATTTCATAATATTAGACAGGTGCTGTTTATAAAATACCTATATTACTGTGATTTCGCCACTCTTGACGAGACAAAGCGCGGCAAATGCAAGTGGCGGCAAGGCGCGGGCCGCGTCGTCACATGCTGGCAGCGCATGTCTGAGAAATTAAAAAATATATATTTCGAAGAAATGTGAAGTTCGTCAACACGCATTGAGGCAGCGTGGCGGACATTTCCTTGCCTTAAAACCCTCTCAGAAAGTAGAGGAGGCCTGTGCCCAGCAGTGGGACGTATATAGGCTGTAACTTTACTTTTTTTTACTTTTTATAAATATGTTATTTTACTACGAAAATTTTAAAGAAAAATAAAAAATAAGCAACCGACAACCTCCTAGGTCCCTAGGTGACTTGCGAGATGTCAGTGTAACAAAACAAAACGGCCCAGAAAAACAGACTTTCCAACTGATAGCTAAATCAGCACGCAACAATTTCATTGGTACCAGTGGGGATCGAACCCGGGTTGCTCCCGTACTGTGATACCTATAACGAGCGCTAACTATGTGAGCTACCACGGGTCTCAATGACATCGTTCCGTTCGTGTACAGCGCTGAAGATAGCAGAGTAAAAAATTAGAGATTGTGGTGTTTGAAATTTGTCATCTGTGAGAGTGAATTTTATCTGTGTACTCTGTAACAAATAACTATATAGAAAAAAATGTGAAAATGACATTTCGCCATTTTTGTTTGTGTACTGGTTAG